GTGTGTGTAGGTGTATGACTCACAGCCTTGGCGTGCTGAGCATGCACGGTGTCGCTGAACTGCAGGAGAGCCTGAAACTGGTTGTTTCTGGTGAACGTGATGATCTTCAGCACGGAGCCAAACTTACTAAAGATCTGTGGAAAAGTTTTATTAATACCACCAAGAACTGTTAGAAAGGACATGATAATAAAAACTTCAATAATAATAACAATAATAACACTGATGATATCTGCAGTCCTGACCTGCTGGAGGACCTCCAGAGTCACAGGGTAAAATAAATTCTCCACAATGATTCTCAGGACGGGACTCTGACCTGGAGCTATGCCCCGGCCCTCCCCACCTGAAGCCATGTTCCCAGAGTGCACTGCTCCTGCATTCATGGCCTGCAGCGTTGCCTGAGCCCTCTGTCAGCAAACAAACATATTATTGATTGTTTAAAGGACCATCTCGCTGCTTTTTGTAAACAGATGACAGATCAAACTTCAAACAAATAAACAGACACCATGGGTGGGGCCTGAGCTGCTGCTCCTCACCTGATTGGTCATATTGTCAGTCTTGAGCTCGCGATGGGTGGAGTACTGAATGTAGACTGGCTGACTCCTGATGGAGGGAGTGGCTGAGGTGTAGTAGTTCACCATGGTAACAGCGGCTTCTTCTGACGCCATTTCTAAAAACGCCTGAAAAGAAAAAAAACGATTACTTAAAAATTTCATGTGTTCCTCTCTGTGTGAGTCTGTCACGGTGGGACGTCTTTTCTAAGCTAACATTAGCTAGAGCTGCTCTCTGTAGAAAATCTGTCCATTCACACAGAAGGGAAAAAAAGATTTGCTTGGATCATGTGACAGGTGTAAACAAAATAAAGCAGTGAGGGAGCAGTACAAAAGCCTTTCATTACTTTAATCCACGCTGAGATCAGACCACAAAGGAAACTGAAGAGAACACAAAGCCTCAGCCATCATGTGTTTGACTTTCACTACCTCACAAATTACACAACACAGTGAACCACACTGCTGTGCAGAAGTCTTGAACCGCCCCTTATTTCTGACCATTTTTGGAAGACTGTTTTTTGTTTGTAAGCCCGCTCTCTGTGAGCCATTCAAGAATGAAAATGCTCCAAACACAAAGAGTAACAAGTGTCTATGCACAACAGAAAACTTAGTGAGGAACCAGCTTTAAATAATTTTAGACTCTTTGTTACTCGCCTGTTACAGCCTGTCATAAAAACACACCACTCAGTGGAAGAGTGGCTTAGACCCTGCCTAACATTCACATACACTTGTTGCGCTCTGATGGATGTATCGTGGGTAATTTAGGGTTCAGTATCTGTCCCCCCGATACTTCCACATGCCTCAGAGCAGCTGCAGGTGGAACCATTTATCTCTGCACACGTTTCACTGAACCAATTTCCCATCGTTCCATCAAAATACAAAGAAATGAGGGCTGACTTGAAACTTTTGCACAACACCATATTACAACACAAGCTGAAATAAGAGTTCAGCTCTGGTGCCATGACTCACACCTGAAACATGTCATTACTTGTTTCCATGAACATGTCACTGTTAGTGACAGACCCATGAGACGATTATTAAAATAACTTGTAGTGTCCAATGCATCAATGAAGGATTATTTATCTCTGGATGAGAGGTCATCTGTAAGAACCTGAGAGGGCACTAAAGCAATGAGAAGCCATTAAAAAAAGACAATCTGAGTCACATGCGGCGTGATGACATAGACAAGATAAAATACAAATAAACAGTGTGCTGGTTGGCTCAGCTGGAGCTCTGCATATACAGGGTACAATCATATTAACTGTTTTTACTAAGAAACAAAACTGACATGCCCATTTTCCCACTAAATTTGAATTCAACGAAGAGGTGTTGTGGGCGGGAATTCATTTTGCTCCGTCTCTCCGCTCCTTCACTCTGATGTCCAGAGGCCTGCACTACAAAGCAGGATTTGGTCTTATCCATGTGACTTCAGGTTTAACTCTTTTTTCTGTTTTTCAAAGGTGGTTCACTTTTTACAGGGATATATCGCTATGGTTACTTATGCTGCAAACAGGCTATGTTCCAGATTACACATCAACAGGTGTGAAACTCCCACCTACTGACTAATCAATTCTCTGGAAAACAGCATCGCCACTCCTGGCAGAGCCCTCAGACTGCTGCGCAGAGTCTCTCTCGCGAAGAGGGTTGGACCAAGTGACCCTGAATCCTCCCTTAGTTATGATGCAGTAGGTGTAGGCTGCTGGGGGATTCCCATTATGCACTGAGTGTTTCTTCTTCACTCACTATGTGTTAATAAACCTCTCTGAAATTAATCATTAGTTATTATTAATCTCTGGCTCCCCTCCACAGCATGTCTTTGTCCTGTCAAACCGGTCGCTGCACATGGCCACCCCTGCCTGAACCTGTTTCTACTGGAGGTTTCTACCTGTTAAAAGGGAGCTTTTCCTTCCCACTGTCGCTTAGGTGCTTGTTCATAGGGGTTGCTTAATTGTTGGGGTTTTCTCCGCAGTATTGTAGAGTTTTTATTTTACAATATGCGAGGTGTGAGGTGACTGTTTGGTGCTGTACAAATAAAACTGAACTAAACTGAATGTCTCTGTGCTTCCCCAATGAGCATCAGTATAAACATAGATTGTTAGATGCAGCTTTACTTCTTTTCTTTTTTTTTTACCTGTTTAATGCAAACAAGTTACAACAACGTTATTATAGTATTAAATGGACTAAATCTGAAGTTGATTCAGTTGAATGAAATAGTCTAAAATCTGTGATGATTTTATCAGTGAGAGCTGCTCCACAGTTTGCAAAGCGTCTTATTTTCCTAGACATCAAAAGGGCCTGGCACGTGTTCATCTGTCTGCTCTTCTATTCCTCCTAAGCAGTTATATTTTATCGAATTTATGAGAAACAGTGCCATTTCTAAAAGCCTTCCATCTTCTAAACAGATACCTTCCAAACTCGTCCCGCCTTTGTACACAACTTATTTGTTCTGATTGGATGTCATCTTGTTTTTATTATTTGACAAAAGTCTCGATACGTTTTATCATCATTTTCATGTTTCTGCACAAGCTTTTATTTAGATATTGCCTTGTTTTCGTCAGAAGAAAACATTGCAGTCGCACACTCACACAGTCACATTTTAACTGGCGTTCTTTCCAGGCTTTAAATAGGCTAAGCTGTTGTCCAGTCTAACTGACCGAAGCATTTAAAGCACTCACGCCTTCATAAAGCGCTGGTCCTCCACCACTACTTTCGTTAAGCAGGCATCTGTATACTGTGTTCAATCTTGTTAAATTTTTCTCATATTACAGCTTTATCTCCCTTTGCAGCTTTGTGTGACTGCTTATCCTGATTGCAGATGTTAGGGTAAGTGAATCCAGACGAAGGAAAGATAGGTGGGTACAACTCGCGTTGGGCGTTGGGGGTGAGGGAAGGGAGACAGGATAGTGAGGGTCTATTGTAGGGTCTTTACCTTACAACATGTTGTGATTTGGTGCTGTATAAATAAAACTGAACTGAAGTGAATAACAAAGTGCCTTCTTGTGGCTAACTAAAGAGCTATATAATGACACACGGTGATTACTCACTCAGTACAACCTCACAAACCCCCACACAGCTACCAAATGTGTTAGTAATAAATTTGGATGCAAGATGGCGTCGCAAGCAGTCGCAGCCGAACGCCGCTCTCAACAATTTAGTGGATTTCTTTTTATTTTGTGTATTTTTATTTCACTTTTCCTCCAATTAACAAGAGCACATGTGCTGTACAGTAAAACTGAATTGCTCAGGGTTCTAAACCACATAAACCTGCACACTTTCACCAGCAATGACTTAATAATAATAAAGAACAGGTTAAGAGGAATTCAGACAGTTGTGTACTGCACACCTTGCTGGCATCGTTAGCGCTCACCTGATTCTTTGTCTTCAGTGTGATCAGCTGACTAACTCGACCAAAGGGAAGCGCCAGAGAAAGCACTTCCTGTTCAGAGACGTCAGGGGGAAGCTGACGCAGGTGAAGGACCCGAGATGGGACGCACTGAGCACGCTCTGAAACACACAGTCTATCAGTGCCATCCACTGCAGATAGACAGAAACAGACAGGTAAATTATGATGGAAAGGGTTCAGGTGGGAGGAGCTTCCCTTTCATAGACTTTCATAGACTCACCTGTGGACAGGTGAGAGGAGCTCATGTTCTCAGAGCTGCTGACAGACGAGCTGAACTCTGACTCCTGGAAACAAACACAATGATCAGTTATTGAAATGTCAAAGTTATATCACATTTCATCAATTTATTAATGAATTTATCAAATCAGCAGCACATGAACCTCCATATTTAAAATCCTGTGTCTTCTTTTGCAATTTTTTTTGAGACTTGATTGATCTTTAAAGCCTGTTTCCTGAGACAGACTGCAGGAGATGATTGATGACTTCTTCATTTTCAGCTCTGAGCTTCTGTTTAACTTTACCGCTAACATTTTAACCATTAACCTTCTCCCGGGATCAGTTAAAGAAGCTTCGGGCTCTGCTGGTGACATTTTAGAACCCCAAAGTCGAACTAATTAACAGAAAATGAAAGTAATTCCTCTCTGTTTGTACACAGACAGAGAGGCTCTTTGCGTGAACACGCACATATCGCGAGATTTCAGGTAATAAAACACCGCGGCTGTCGCTACTGTTGCCCCGTGACACTTTCACGCCGAGCCGAACAGAACAGAGCAGAGTTGCGCAGCACAGCACAGCGCACGAGCAACTAAACAGCGCGCGAGGAGCAGGAAAACGGAGCTCTGGGAGAGCATTTCAGTAAACACCAACAACAAACAGGCAGGGAGGGGCGCGCCTGAGGCTCGCGCAGGTGCGGTTCAGTCACCAAGGAAACGAAGGGAGGAAGGAAGGTAAAAGTGCGGTGGGAACGGTTCCGAGAAGGTTCGGGACGGTTTCCCGTTCTCACCCGTCCATGGTCCGTGCTGAGGAAGAGGAGGAAGCGCAACAGAGAAGGAGTTGTTTTGGTCCGCGAGCCTTCGCAGCCAGGCAGCCACCAAGGAGAACAACGAGCTCACTTCCCGTTTGGTGACGTCACGACAGAACATGGCGTCTGGAGGACACACCTCAGATAAAAAGAAATACAATCATTATAAAAAATAATTATAGTAACAATTAAAAGACTTAGGAATAAGTCAAATATATTCATTGTATTTAAAACAATATCAAATACATGTACAATTAAAAATACTATTACAAACAGATAAATGTAAAAAGATTTTACAAAATGACATTTAAAAGAAAATGCATGTTTTGTACGTAAAATTAACATAAATTAAAATGAAAATGAATTCCTGAAATATGGAATAAAATAAAAAGTACTTAGTTAATTTTTTTCAAAGCAAGATAAATAAAATAAATTTAAAATTGCTTATCAATTATAACTCCATTAAACACATTAAATAAATTTAATTTCTGCCTTAAATTCAAAATATGGTATAAATTTAAATAAATACTAATAAAAATTGCTTCAAGTAAAATAAAAATGTAATTTATAATAAAATACATATTGAAATGTATTAGGCCTTCATTCGTGTAAAATAATGTGTTTGAAAAAATCTGAAATTCTACATTTGAAAACAATCGCAAAAGTTATTGCAATGCAATTCTACCAGTTTTGGCAGCTTTTATGAAAATAGAACAAAAAAAGCTCTACTCCTTTTATTTTAAAAAAAAAAAAAAAAGCACTTTTTTCACACTTTTTGTTGAACTCCTGAGTGTTCTTGTTTGGGTGCCTAATATTTAAAGGGGAGAGCAGTGTTGTACTATTTTAGACTGTCATATTTGGTTTCCCTGCCATGGCTGTTCCACATTGGACTACCACCTCTAGTATTAGTATATTTTGGAGAAATTAATCGGACTGCTGTCTGAAGTGTAATCCTTTTTCTTTTTTCTTAACTTTATCTGACTGAAGACAGACCAGCTGTAGCCACTATGACATCACCCATCTACTGTACAGACACAGATACCTGCTAAATGCTGAATTGTAGAATTTCACTCATCAGAACCCCACCTCAGACTTTTAATGTCTGTTAGTACATTTGACTCCACAGCAGATTTTATAACACTATTTAATAAAAAGCTCCAACCGCTCAAACACGGTCCACGGGTCCAGTAAAGGGACTTAAATTAGCTGAGGTGAAGCCTAGCAGGTAGCTAGAAACTAGAAACTACAGCCTGAGGACCACCCCTAATAATGCAAACTCTAAGCCTCAATACAGTTTAATCAGGTGAGTTATAAAGGTGAGGATGCAAGGAGCAGAATCTGATGGTGAAGGTAGTGTTTAATTACCCAGGGTCAGAAGGGCCTCTGTCTTGCTAGCTTGCGCTGCGCTCAGTGGATCTGCACTCGACAGTGCAGCCTAGGCGGAGTAGTCGAATGCAGATCCACTGAGCGCTCAACACAGACAGCATCGTCAGAAGGAAAGTTGATAAAATAAATTTAAAAATTTGTATTGTTCGATACATATGCATACCGAACCGAAAGCACTGTATCGAGCTGTTCAATATTGATACGAGTATTGTTGCACCCCTAATATATATGTATAATAAAATGGTTACAAGATAGCTTTTAACTTCTTACACAGTGTGTCTTTGTCCTGTCTTCCTGCTCTAATGGCTACCTCTCCCTGTTGTAGGTTTCTTCCTGCTGAAGGGAAGTTTTTCCTTCCCTTTGTCCTGAAGTGCTTGCTCACAGGGAGCCATGTGATTGTTGGTGTTTTCAGTTTTCTTTGCATTACACAGGTCTGAAAAAAATAAAAATTCAGCTGCATTGGCGGTCCTAGCCTGTTTGGCGCCCTGGGCGAACACTCCCTCGGGTTGTGTGAGACTTTAAATCATCAAACTGTAAATTATAAATTTTAAATTGTTATTGATCCCTTTACTACGGTGGCCCTGAAAGGCCAAACGGACTGCAACTTCAGAAAACACTTGCAAAAAGAAAAATGCTGCAAAAAGAAAAATGCTGCAAAAAGAAAAACAC